CCGTGTGCGGGGAGGGACCTGGACGGAGCTGGCTGCCAGCCGGCCTGTGGTGAGCCCACGCCGCCTGCCCTGCCCCTATCTGGCCCCAGGTGCCCAGGCACCCGTCTGTCTGTCCTGCTGACCGCCTCCCGAGGGAGGAGCTGCCATGTCCTGCCCTCACCCCTGTACCCTAGTGTCTGCTGCTGACCCAGCACTTGGGGGAATGTCAGTAAGCTTTTCTCCTTGGAGCCCGGAGACCCTTCACTGGCATGGTCAGTGAAACATGCCTCAGTGTTGCCCATGCCCAGGTCCTGAGAGCCAGCAAATATGCCACCTTGCGTGCCAGCAGGAAGGTGTGATGACAGACCTTGAGACGGGAGACTGGGGCATCCTGGGTAATCCGTGCGGCCAGGTGGTCATGGGGCCCTGAGAAGCTGAGGTCAGAGGAGAGCCGTGACGTGGAAGAGTCAGGAAAATGTCACAGCTCCGTGTCGGAGGCAGAGGGGGGCCATGGCTTGGGAAGGTGGGTGCAGGAAGTGGAGGCTCCGGTGGGGAGGAGCCACCCTGCAGCTCCGACTGTCCCTCTGAGCCCCGAGGTGGGCATCTGATTGGTGGTGTAAGCCATTGGGTCTGGCCATTCGTCACAGTAACTGGAGGACACTGGCCTGTGGCCCCTCTGCTGCCCGCCCTCTGCCCAGCAGTCCACAGTCAATCCAGAGAGACCGAGGCCTCGGCCCTGGGAGGCTCCACGCGGGAGTTCCAGAGCAGTTCTGCAGCTGCTGCTGAGTCCGGGGCAGTGCTGTGGATGGAACGCTGTTTGTTTCTCTGAAATTCCAGCAGTTTTCCTCACCTGCTGGGAGGTGGGGTTTGTGCATTGCCCTTTAACCAGCACGAGCGCCTGGCGTGTTGTCAGCGAGAAAGCCCGTGCCGGTACGGTGAGGTCCGGTACAGCTCACCGGCTCCAGCTCGGTGCTACCGCTCACCTGGAGAAAGTCTGGGAGCCCCAGAACCCTCCGATGCTCTCAGGAAAGCCTGTTTCTGTGCCATTTATGTGAGGCCAGAATGGCGTGGGGGTTCTGGAACCAGAGCCTGGACGGCTGTGCTGGCCCTCCCACCCGTCACCTTGGGTGAGGACACAGTGGCTGTCTGCCTCAGTTTCCCCGTGACTGACAGTACCCAGTCTTCCCATTATAACAGCACACTGACATAACACCGGAGGATCTTCAGAACAGGGCCTACCCGGGACAGCAAACGCTCCATGTTAGCCACTAGTGGTGTTTAAACAAAAATTCTTTTTAAAAGAGAGGTTTTTGCTATAGGGCGCATGCACTTGCCAGAGAGACAGAAAGCGAGAAATCACCCCCCAGAGTTAATGGCCACGCTGCAATCCCTTCTCCTCCAGTCTCCTCTCAGGATTTTGGGCACGCACGCATGCGCCCGGTGTGAGTCCCAAGCTGCCAGGTCTGGAGTCCAACAACATAACCATTATGCTATCTGCTGGTCCTGGTGTTTAAAAATTTTTAACTTACCCTTTCGGGATTGATTTAATGACAGTATCTTATGCGCCACACATGCCAGGTACCCTGGGGCAGCCCTGCAGTCAGTTATATTTTCTCTGTTTTGGAAAAGAGGCAGTTGGTGCTTGGGACCAGGCAGCCTGCCCAGTCACGGCAAGTCGGGGCCGGCTGGCGTTCCAGCTCTGGCTGTTTGGCTCTGCTCTGACCTGCCTCAGACCCGAACGCGAGCAGGTGCCAGGAGAGGACTGAGACCAGGCCAGGCCTGGCCAGGACTGGCTCTGCTGTCAGGTGTCTGTGGACCTTGGGCAGCCATGGGACTCTGAGTCCACGAGTCTTCACTTGAACATAGAAGTGGACATGCACAGGGGCCCCACATGGAGAGCCCCAGGGTCCAGCTCAGACCCTTGGCTCAGACCCCCTGGAGGCAGGGCCTGGTGACTGCAGTGCTAAGAACCTAGATTCCTCCACACGCCTGGTGGGATCTCCTGGACCAGCTGGCTCCGGGGTCTTCTGGGGCATGGGACAGGAAGCAGGTCCCAGCCTGTGTGCCCACCTGAGCTGTGTCCCACAGAGGCCTGGTAGGTGGGGGTGGGGTCAGGCAGACTGTGGGAGAAGGCTGAGGGCCCTGCGAGGGCAAGGCCCACCCAGGAGACCTCCCACAGCTCTCGCCAATGCCCTGCCGCCCTCGTGGGCTCCCTTGCCAGCAGAGCACCGACGTCCCTCAGCACTGCGGAGAACCTCTGGGGTCCTTCAGGTGGAGGCCAGGCTGTTGCCAAGTCCTGTGGAATCTGAACAGGCAGGTGGCGAGGACATTGCTTAGGACCCCCACCAGCCCCTACCCCAGGACCAGGCGGATCGCGCTTTCTCCCTCCCCTGGTCCTCTTGTTGAAGGGCACCCGGCACTTTGGTGGCTCCTCTGCAGCCTCAGCCTTCAGGCGACCCTAGGCCTCCTCTTTGGCATCCTCCTCAAATGTAGGGACCCTGCCAAGGCCCCTGGGGAAAAGCACCACGCAGGTGGCTGGGGGTCCGGCCCCCGTCTGATTCTCTATCACCCGCTAGGGGGAGCCAGTGCACATGGATAGGCCTCCCTTGGGGTCTGGGCTCAGGCTGGACGGGAAACCAGCTCGGAGTGACCAGGGCCCAGAGCTGCGCTGTACGGAGCTTCTCGCCTCTGCTCACCTCCTCCTCACTCCTGACCTCATTTTTGTTTGTGTCTGCAATGGGAATTTGGACTATTTTAATTTCACCGTCTGTAAACAACAGTGAAAATACGTGAAGCTTATTTCAGGACTTGCAAATCATAAAATAACAAAATGGCTTTGGTTTGGTGGAATATAAAACATTCCTTTCCTGGTATCTATACAATCCTTTACCCACGTAAGTAGCTGTGCACCTCAAATATATGCATAAGGGAATAACACTGCTCTACAAATGACGAACTATGACGGTGTACTTGTGGCCGAAAGGGAAAAAGAGAGAGGGAGCCTGGACTGTGAAGCGAAACACCAGGATCGCAGTCCTGCCGGGAGGACCCCCCTCAACCCCACCAAGGAGCCCACCCGGCAGGCCCACAGAGTGCCTCGGTGTGCAGAGGGCTCACTGTGTCTCCCCCTCACCCTAAAAGGAGGGCCCTCACTTCAGAGGAAACGGGGCCACTGAGAGGTGGAGTGAGTTGTCCCGGGCTGTGGCCGGCTCGCTCCCCTGGGGTTTCGGGCGGTGGGTGCTTGGGCCCAGGCAGCCTGCCCAGTCACGGCAAGTCGGGGCCGGCTGGCGTTCCAGCTCTGGCTGTTTGGCTCTGCTCTGACCTGCCTCAGACCCGAACGCGAGCAGGTGCCAGGAGAGGACTGAGACCAGGCCAGGCCTGGCCAGGACTGGCTCTGCTGTCAGGTGTCTGTGGACCTTGGGCAGCCATGGGACTCTGAGTCCACGAGTCTTCACTTGAACATAGAAGTGGACATGCACAGGGGCCCCACATGGAGAGCCCCAGGGTCCAGCTCAGACCCTTGGCTCAGACCCCCTGGAGGCAGGGCCTGGTGACTGCAGTGCTAAGAACCTAGATTCCTCCACACGCCTGGTGGGATCTCCTGGACCAGCTGGCTCCGGGGTCTTCTGGGGCATGGGACAGGAAGCAGGTCCCAGCCTGTGTGCCCACCTGAGCTGTGTCCCACAGAGGCCTGGTAGGTGGGGGTGGGGTCAGGCAGACTGTGGGAGAAGGCTGAGGGCCCTGCGAGGGCAAGGCCCACCCAGGAGACCTCCCACAGCTCTCGCCAATGCCCTGCCGCCCTCGTGGGCTCCCTTGCCAGCAGAGCACCGACGTCCCTCAGCACTGCGGAGAACCTCTGGGGTCCTTCAGGTGGAGGCCAGGCTGTTGCCAAGTCCTGTGGAATCTGAACAGGCAGGTGGCGAGGACATTGCTTAGGACCCCCACCAGCCCCTACCCCAGGACCAGGCGGATCGCGCTTTCTCCCTCCCCTGGTCCTCTTGTTGAAGGGCACCCGGCACTTTGGTGGCTCCTCTGCAGCCTCAGCCTTCAGGCGACCCTAGGCCTCCTCTTTGGCATCCTCCTCAAATGTAGGGACCCTGCCAAGGCCCCTGGGGAAAAGCACCACGCAGGTGGCTGGGGGTCCGGCCCCCGTCTGATTCTCTATCACCCGCTAGGGGGAGCCAGTGCACATGGATAGGCCTCCCTTGGGGTCTGGGCTCAGGCTGGACGGGAAACCAGCTCGGAGTGACCAGGGCCCAGAGCTGCGCTGTACGGAGCTTCTCGCCTCTGCTCACCTCCTCCTCACTCCTGACCTCATTTTTGTTTGTGTCTGCAATGGGAATTTGGACTATTTTAATTTCACCGTCTGTAAACAACAGTGAAAATACGTGAAGCTTATTTCAGGACTTGCAAATCATAAAATAACAAAATGGCTTTGGTTTGGTGGAATATAAAACATTCCTTTCCTGGTATCTATACAATCCTTTACCCACGTAAGTAGCTGTGCACCTCAAATATATGCATAAGGGAATAACACTGCTCTACAAATGACGAACTATGACGGTGTACTTGTGGCCGAAAGGGAAAAAGAGAGAGGGAGCCTGGACTGTGAAGCGAAACACCAGGATCGCAGTCCTGCCGGGAGGACCCCCCTCAACCCCACCAAGGAGCCCACCCGGCAGGCCCACAGAGTGCCTCGGTGTGCAGAGGGCTCACTGTGTCTCCCCCTCACCCTAAAAGGAGGGCCCTCACTTCAGAGGAAACGGGGCCACTGAGAGGTGGAGTGAGTTGTCCCGGGCTGTGGCCGGCTCGCTCCCCTGGGGTTTCTGAGAGACACTCTTGGAAACCAATCTGGAGGGTCTGGACGGGTCCCTGCCCTTGGGGACATTCTCAGAAGGAGGAGATGGCCAGACAAGAGGCCGCCATGGCAGCTGCACCTGCCGGGGGCTGGGGTTCGTCCAGCGCCCCCGAGCCGCGCGCCCGCG